CTAGATACTAAACTTATAAAATTTTTAATGACGAATACTAAAAAAATCAAACGAAAACTGATAGTTGAAATACTAAATGATTTTTACTCTTTTAAGAAAAAAGTGAAAAATATAAATACATCAATCTTCATCTCCAAAGTATCAATACCAAATCATTCCTATTCGTTTCCTTTTTTAAGTTTTAGCTAGTCATTTTCCCCTTTATCTTTGAAACCTAAATACAAATGAATCAAAATTTGATATGATGAAAAACAAAAAAAATAGATCTTTAAAAAAATTAAAGAAACAAAAAGAAATTTGACCCAGAAAATATTCCAAAAAAAAAAACTAAATAATAGAAACGTTTAAAGATTCAGCCAAGAAAAAAAAGTAGGTACCTGAGACATGGCTTTAAACTTTGGAAAAATGGAGAGGGAGGAGTAGATATTGTTTAGCGTTGGTATGAAGCAGCAAGGTCGAAATTTATAAAAGAATTGTGGTGTTGTGCACGCGCTTTTACAAATATATTTAAGTCTTATCATTTTTTCTTCTTTATAAGAATTAAAAAATAATAAAATATTTCAAATATTTTAGTTATTAAAATTTTGTTCAAGCATGGATTCGTATGGATGTATGGGTAAATTTTATCTAGATATATATAAGTTGTTATGGTAATTCTGCTGTGTAACAATTAATATATATATATATATATTATTTTCATTTTATAATTTTAAAAAAAGTTTATATATATCTTAAATATCAACTTTAAAAATAAATATATACATGAACCATTTTATAAGTGACCTTTGATATTTGATTGGAATGATATAATTTAAATATTTAAGCATCAAATAGGAATCAAGTGATCTCAGTAATCAAAGAAATTATTATTATCCATAAATATTACCTCGAAATCATTTTATATTAGTAAAAAGATATTATCTCGTAATCATCCCACATTTAATACTTAAATAGTTTAAGACAAATAAACGATTCACATATATGAATTTGATTTTTTTAAATAGTTTAAGATAATTAAAAAATAATTATTCAAGATTTTTTAATACATTAACAACATGTGTTATTTTAAAAGCGAGTAAAACTAAAATTTTTAGTTAATGATAAACTTCAAATCATATAAAGCGCATGAATTTCAGTTTATTAAACACTCGCTTTCTTGTTATTCAAGCAACCATTAACCACACTTCTACTTAAATATAGACACGTATAAAAATTCAAAAATAAGAATACAAATTTTTAATGTTTTGTTAAAAAAAATCCTGTAAATAAGTATTTTTTTTAAAAAAAATTATAAGATTTATAAGTGAAGGAATAAATTTTGAACACAAGATATTGATCTAATATTTTTCGGTAAGCTTTCAAAAAAAGTAAAATAAAAAGTGAGATCATTTTAATAAATGAGATATTTATATTTAAAATTTAGAAGAGGAGTGAGAAATTTAGGGTCTGTTTGATTCTAAAAAATATAGTCTATTTTCAATTTCATTTTATTATAAAATATAAAACATTGAAAAAAACATGTTTGGTTGTGAAATTAGAAAATAATTTCTAAAAATTGAAAAACAAAAATAAGTGATAATATAAAAATAAAAAAAAATATGTTTTCAGTATTTTCATTAAATTATTTTGAAAATTTGAAAAATAGGAAAACACAATATTTAGTTTTTTTTTAACTTAACTTGCAAATATTCAAATCATCTTAACAATAATTTTTTAACTTATGGTATCTAAAACCCTCAAAGTTTTTTTTCCAAAAAATCAATATGGTCCCTAAACCTTTTTTACTCTCAATTTGATCCTTAAACTAATTTTTTTTATAATTTTTTAGTATTTCTATATTTAATGTATTAAATATCTTAATCATTGTTTATATTTTATATCTTAAATGTAAATATTTTAAAAAAATTTAATTAAGTCTTTAAACTTTATAAAAGTAACAATTAGGTCCTCGAACTTAGTCAAAAAATCAATTAAGTCCATCTATCACATTGTCATCCATCATGTACTTACTAAACAGGATTGTGAACTATCACATCAATATTGTACGTTGTCATGTAAACTTTGTGAACTATTATGTAAGCATCATGATGGTCAATGTTTGATTCAGTTAGTCAAATGGTTATATTGATTTTTTTTTCTCAATTTAAGGGTTACAATAAGTGTAAAAAAATTCAAGGACTAAAATAGTTCCCCCAAAAAAATTGAAGGCCTTAAATACCACTAAACATATTTTTTTATTTTAATGACACTTTTCTATTTTCTTGTTTACAATAATATTTTTATATATTTTTTTTAATTTAATTGATATTCAATATGCATTAACATTATATTCTTATTACAAATTAAAATAATTTTTGTGTTATAATTTTTTTTTATCAATTTTTTTATTTATTTTTTCATAACTCGCATATTAAATTTATGTAAAAAATTTATATTTTAATATCATTGTTTAATAATTAGTTGTTCATCTAAATTTTAAAAAAATAGACATCAAATATATTTTAATTATTTGTATGTATGAAATCAAGTTTTCATTTATATTAATCAAGCATATTTTCTAATTTTCAGAAAACAAAAAACAAAAACCATTTTCTAAAAATAGAAACAGAAAACGAAAACAAAAATATTTTATAGGACCGAACATGCCCTTATAATCACCGTTTAAGTTTTAGTCATTTCTTTGTTCACCAAAATTTTTTTTTACGGCATTTAATAAATTTTTGGATAAACTACATTAGATACCATCAAACTTTAGGTGTTATATCATCTATATTGTTAAACTTTCAATTTTATCAATTATAGCATTGAACTTTAATTTTCATTTCAACTATACCACTAAATCATTAACGACATGATGACATGGCTAACAGCTACTGATGTGATTGACGGTTGTCGACGTAGACACCTTACCAAAATGACATCGTTTGGATCCGGTTGTTAACTGTTAAAAACATTTTGATATTTTGATATAACAAATTAAGTTAAATGAACTTTAAGATTTTCAAAATGATTTTCTAAGTATATTCGATATAATTATTCGAATATCAAAACATTACTCCAAATCTTTCAAAGATCATTTTTAATCCTTACTCAAAGTGTAAAATTAAGTTTTAATCTTAAAACAATTTCAAAATAATTTTACAAAGTATTTCGAACCATTTCAAAGCCAAAAATTCCAGATTGCTCAGAGGGAACCGATTCCCCCCTGAATGGTTTGGCTCCGAGAATTCCAGTATGCTCGGAGGGAACCGATTCCCCCCCCCCAGGGGGTACCGATTCCCCCCTTGTATAACGGTCGAAATATTTGAATTTTACACTTAGGGAACCGATTCCCCATAGGGGGTACCAATTCCCCCCACGCTCCAAGCTGTTTTATTAATTGTTTTCACACTAAAACGGCTATATGATCTTCACTAATCATCCCCAACGTTTAGAAGTGATTCAAGGTGTATTTAAGCAAGCTTAGAAGCCATTGATCAACAACAAGAAACATCAAGCAATTAGAATCAAGAGAGAATCAAAGAGAAAGCATCAAACCTCAAGTTTTAGCATTTCAAGCCTATTTTTCATTCAATATTCATTTTGCTTTCAAGAACACTTATTGTGCTCAATTGTATTTATTCATGAGTGTTCCTTCTTTGTTATAGAATTGTGCAAACATATTTGCCTTGTGAGGTTTTTCTTGTAAGTTTGCAAATTTGTATTTCTCTTTGAGAAAAGAGTGTTATCAAGAATTGGGGTATATTCTTGAGGGAGTTGTAAGGTTATCTCTTTGGCCTCAAAAGAAAGAACAAATTAGTGAATTTGTTGGAAAATCCTTAGTGTGGATAGCTAAGGTAGTGGACGTAGACTTTGGTTGATAAAGTCGAACCACTCTAAATCGCTGTGCTATTTCTTTCAATTTTCTGCAAAAGTTTCCACCAAATTTTTTATTGCCAATTCACCCCCCTCTTGGCCGATTCAGTCAATCGATTAACTCAACATTAACGATTTAAAAGCCTAGTGATATATTTGAAACAAAAACCAAAGTTTAATGCTATAATTAGCAAAATTGAAAGTTCAGTGACATAAATAATATAATGCTTGAAGTTCAGTGGTATTTGGTGTAGTTTACCCTAAATTTTATTATGCTGATATCTTCACAAGTAATAAAAAAACATGAACAAATTGAAAAGTTATAATTGTATCAAATCAATCATCATGCATAGTTGGATTGAAAATAACAAATCGATTTTGTATTAAGAACCACAGCATGACTTTCGGTAATAAACTTATTTTACAATATTTGATTTCAATCATTAGCGTAGACTTTTTAACCTATTTATGCATCCGCATGCAACCTTTTACTTTCATGATTCTTCTTTAATTAATACAGTGACATCTTATTAAATAGTTATAATAATTTTATTAATAATGCTAAAACATATTAAAATCACTTTAGATATAATTATAGCAAAGTAAAAACTAATTACAACATCAAATAAGATGAAGGGGTTGAGGTCAATTGTTATCTGATTTTAATTTTTTATATAATTTTATATTTTATATTTTTAATGATAATCTAATTTCGTCCTTTAAAGTTTTATAATTTTGTAACTTAAATTTATAATATAAATTATAAAATATAAAGTTAATTTTTTATTCATTGAATAAAAAGTTCAGATTAAATAGATGAATCACAAAATTTAATTTATTTTTTTTACCATATATGTGATATGATAGGCAGGGGCGGATGCATATGGCCACATAGGGGGCCAAATGCACACTCATTATTTTGGATTAGGTATTCAACATAATTCAATATATTAAAAGAAGAAGAAAAAAAATAAGAAAATTTGCATACCCATTATATTGAAAAGAAGAGTATTAAAATTTTTGGACCCCCATTTCTAAATTTCTAGATCCGCCACTGATAATAGGCCAAACCACTCAACAACACTCAACTGTCCTTAGCCTACTATGCTGCTATTCACCAAATCACCTTGCATTATTCCCAATATGGAACGAAAAATAAGCAATATATAAGTTACCTGGTACACCAGTTTTTCTTGTCAAAAACAGTATTAATGAGAAAATACATATATCAATACATACGGCTGCATCCCCTGGGAAACCCTTAACTAGTAACAAGAAGGGAAAGAGATACCTATACCCATACAGAAATGGCCCTCGAAAATATATGATAGACCAGTGTGCATGTGAAACAAGTATCTTTCTTGATTTAGAGGCAATGTAAATAAGCTACAACCTATGGGTATCTGGTCTAAAATGGTTATCATAAAATGAAAACTGATCAGGAGGCACCCCGGTTGATCTGGTTGTGGGTAAGACTGGAAATCCTTCTCTACTACGTATCTGTGGCACTTGATCAGGATAGGAGGGGAAAGTTGGATAACTCTGCAGTGCAGATGAGGGTGGGCCTGGTTCCGAGTAAGGATCAAAACGTGGATTTTGAATGGATCTCAACCCTGTCTCTGCATATCGACTGGTGAGAATTTGATCATCGTTTATATAACCAGATGCAGTTGGGACAGTGGAAAAACTTGATCTAACATCCACGTAAGGGCTACTGTAAAAACGATCACCAGTAACTGGTGGATAACTACTAGAATTACTTGACTGAGTGTTGGTATAAGAAGTGGTGAGCAGATGGTTGCTAGAAGTCGGTGCAATGCCTGCATCAGGGTAATAGCTTGCCAAACTCGACAGCAGACCTGAACTCAGAAAGTTCATTTTTGAGACCTCTGCTGAAAAGTCAGTTGGAACCCTGAAGAGTCCACTGCATCCAACAGGAATCTCTACCCTCTCCCCAACTTTTCTCCCATAAACAGGAGGTTCAATAGCTTTTAGTGCAGATGCACCCTCTATCAGCGGCGATGTATTGATTTTCTGTTGTAAAGACATCCTAGCTTGTTTGAGTGCATCCAGCACATTGGTAAACCTGCTCGGTGTTTCACGTGGCACCAGTGCATAAATCTCATTTTTGTTTCCTGAAGGTTCCGTATCTGTTCCACTCATACCAGATGTAAGGAGTGGCACTGTCTGTTTCCCCGTAGAACCATGTGCATGAGAACTGTGTAAAGGAGAATGGTTTCTCTGCAGACTCTCCTGATGATGATTTCCCTTTGTCTTGGGACCTAGGGATGTTTGATTTAGGGACACAGGAAAAAGGGAGCTGCTACAGTTACGATCCTGTAACTGATCCATATCACCGTGTGAAGGTGGAACATGGTCATGGGATTGAGTTTTAAGTAATTCTGTGGAGAAGAGAATATGTTCCCCCTCTGTCACTTGGACTCGTAAGCTACCTTTCCCAGATGCATAATGAGTTTGAGTCTTGACCTCATCTCTTTCCTCAGTGACATCTGAGTTGTTCCCAGGATCACATGAATCCTAAATAATTTTATCCAAAAAAACCATAATGTCAGTAAACACACGCAAGATATAATGCAAGCGTCAAAGCATTCAATAAACTGTCTAGACAGCATAAGATAGACATGACCGCATTCTTAATGGAGATCAGTAAAAAAAAGTGCATATAGCAATCACAAGAAAAAAAGGAGTAGATCCCAGAGGCAAAAAACTAAGGGACAAGAGATCATGTGACTGGATAAGCATGCCTCAAAGCTTACTTGAAAACTGCACTAACAGTAATGTTAGGACTAAGGGAGAAGAGTGGTTCCCTCTTCTAACTGGTTACTCGAACATGCTCCTTCCAAAGAATCATATCATCCATTTACAAATTATTCATTTTCTTCCAATTTTAAAGGAACTTAAGACATCACCATTGCAAGCAACAGGAATGTTAGGAGTAAGGGAGAAGAGTAATTCCCTCTTTTACTGGTTAGATGTATATGCTCCTTCCAAAGAATCATATCATCCATTCGCAAATTATTCATTTTCTTCCAATTTTTAAAAGAACTTAAGACATCACCATTGCAAGCAAAAACTCTTACATGGAAGCTCAGTTGAAGGAAGCAAGTATCCTCACAAGCCTTTTGTGCTCATCTGAGTGGTTAGTCCCAAATAGATATGGATAGCAGAGGAATTTACATAGGTCCACAATACCATAAGACAGCAAACAAGAATCCATCTTTAGAACCAAATGTCAGAGTTCTTTTAATTTAGATTTCAAAAGATCCGATCAAAAAGTTTGGAGAATGAACAGATTAAAAGTTAGGTTAAGTTGGTGATATATGAAAGATTTGTCAGCTAGCACTTTCAGCAACCGTGCATGTGTTCTCCCAAGAGAGAGGGGGACAGGAAGTTTTCTCATCTCATAAAAAAAAAAAAGATAACCAGTCCAAAGATATAGTTTGCTGTCAAAAAACTACAGTGGAGGTTAGCCAAACAAACTAAAATTTACCCAACTTACGACAACAAAAGAGAGAAAAGGACATCCACTTATACATCTTCCCAGATTCAATACGAGATAAGGTTTTAGATCCTACCTTTCCACTTGAGTAACCAAAGTGGCAACATGCAGTTTTTGTAAGGTTCGATTTCCTCATCATCTGTATGTATTTTTATGGAAATAGATTCCTTTGAAAATAAGATTAAATCGCCTAGGTTTTGAGTTTTGACCTTTGTTTTATCTTTAAATTTTAAATTTCCCAGCCTATATCAATAGAAAACCAGATTCCACTTATCAATTCCTCGACTGAAGTTCTTGAAAAACTAACCACATCAATTATGGCTTGAATTCATGAATTTTATTCAGCTGCTTTTGAAAAAAATAGACACCAACTATTTTACATTTCAGCATCATGTTCAGATGTCAAGCCACCATTAGTATCTAATGTGATTTACCATTAAACTTTAACAAAAAGATTACAGAGGGTGCTGCAGAACCCTGAAGATTCTGCACCGGACACGCTGCACTAAGTAATTCTATCTGATACAATACTGGTTACACATATTCTGGGCATGCATTTTATAAAAGCAACATCTTGCACTATCAGACAATATGCAACTTCATATGACGGTATGTAAGAGAGAACAAGCATCCATAATTACGGAAGCAAGGACGATAGCTAATGCCGAGTATTCAACTAGTAGAAAGTGTTTCTTTTAAAATAACTTTTTGCATTGAACACCTTCATAGTCTAATGTATACTTTAATTCCTTTTGCACCAAAACTTTCAAAATGTTCCACCACAAAAACCTTGAACTTAAACTATCATGGAATTTACTTGTTTCAAACAAATATAAAACTCGTGAAGTTTTAGTATGAAACCATAACCAAGACAAGGAAAAGAGCACAAATTATCTCTATCAAATAAGTTTTTCTTAACATACCGGTGTACTACTATTATTTTCTCTGAACTTCTCTTCCCATTCTCTTTGTGCCCTTTCCATTGCTTCATAACGGTCAATCAGTTGTGCTTGATGTTCTAGTGCCCTTTCCATATCTTTCTCCCCTTCATACCCATGAAACCCAAGACCATAAGCAGTTATACTTTTTTCATTTTTAAGGCATCTGAATGTAGATTGTCCATTGCAGGAAATTCAGAATGCAAAGTTAAAATACCAGACTCACTTTCAGAGTGATTAGCATTAACTTCAGGTGAGGTTATAAGTCCATTTACTGGTGGATCAGCCTTGTCATCATCTGATTTGGGCTCCTCCGCTGCTAATCTGATAAAATAAAGCAAGCAATAGGTAATTTTTTTACTTGACTGATGAAAATTAACACCTCTTAGGATATCCATCTTGAACATGCAATCAGTTGACATGTACCAAGATGAAGAGAATTTTCAAGTACAGTCATTTTAATAAATGAAAATGAGAAAAATAATATCCTTAATTGTAATACTATTCCATTTTTTATCTTTTAGTTCTCGTTTAAGCTCCTCTGCAACTGATCTGATAAATAAGCAATCATTCACAAATATTTGGTTTACTTGACTCATGTGTAAATAACTACAAGGAAATTCATGTCGAATACGAAAGAAATTACTATGTAAGTATGAAACAAGATGAACATTCCCAAGTAAAGATATTTTTATAACTAAAAATGAGAAGAATGATCTTTAAACAATATTTCATTTTGATCATTCAGTTCTAACATTTCCAAAACACATTAAGCTGTACAAAAGTATCAAAGTAAAAAATGTACCCTCTCCATCACCATTTTCTTTCTTCTTTTTTATTTTCAGTTTTTCTTTCTTATGTCCAACCTGAGATCTAATTACACACATCCTTTTCTTTATCATATCTTATTCAGCACTATAATGTTAACATTCTTTGCATCAGAGAAAATAACATATCATACAGGTTTTATCATCCGTAATTACAGAATAGTAAATTGTAACTATTACTTAAAAAAAGAAAAGATAAATGACATGCCACATCTTTCTGATAGAATAAAAGCAAAAGTATCATGTACCAACCTTGATTCCCGGCGTCTTATCTGCCGGCATGATTTTCCCTGGCGGTGTTTTGGGGACGAAAAACCCATAGATGAAAAACTATTTTGCCTTCTCACAAGTGAGTCTTTATACTTTTCAGGAGAATGAGAAGCACTCTTGCGGCCTTTCCAAGACAAGCTTCTACCAGATACTGAAGAAAAATCATCCGAACCTGAATGTTCCTCTGACTCTTTTCTTCTCACTTTCAAACTGACAGAGCTCTCCTCTTCTTTAAAAGGCATTTCCTTGTCAGAGCTTGAATCAAGTTCCTCAGACACATCACTTACCCCATTATTCTCCAAAATGGAAAGAACATCTGCCGTTGCCTTTTCAGCCCTCCTCCTTTGGACAGACACAATTCTTAGCTGTTCTTCCAGTTCAGCTACCTAATTTATATAAAACCCACCACTAAAAAGCATTACAGAAAGTCGATACACTTGAGCATGATATATATATATATAGAGAGAGAGAGAGAGGATAAAATACAACTACCAGACCTCAGAAGGCCTCCTTAGTAAACATTTAAACATACCCTTCTTGCCAGTTCGTCAGCTCTCTGTCTTGCACTTTTAGAGACAGATCGTTCGGACAATAAACGTGCTCGAAGGAATTCAATGGTCATATTGGAATCCTCCATGTTGCAAGTTATCCTGAAAAAAAAGGGCAAAATAAGCAGACAAAAATCAAACTGAAAATCTCAAACCTAAATTAGGTCATATACTAGATTAGGTCACCTAATCTAGTATATAACTTTATAGAAGATCAACTTGTCCCCATCTCTCTCGTTTTTACACAAAAAGCATGCATCATCAATAGTGCAAATCACAGAAAGTAAGGTAAAAAAGTCCAAACTCCAGAAAGCAAGTTGCCATCAATCCATGCACAAAGTATGAACAATTACTAAAACTAATAAATGGATGTCCCTTTTTCCCATATATATGAGGTAAGGGGGAGGTAAGATAGTAGGCTACCCCCAACACCAGGTTGAGAGCAGCTTCCGTAAGAGACCTCCGAATTACATCAAAATTTCAGTTCCTCCTTGCATAAAAATGGATTTAATTATGTGTGTGTGTGTGGGTGCTTATAAGCAAATAGGAACCAGAAAGTGTTGCTAGATAGGCACGGAAATAAATACTTTGCAGGCATCAAGAGGCTTCCAACAGAAAGAACTGCCATGCAAGAGAAAACTTCACTGAGAAACTAAACAAAAATAACAGAAACTAACCATGTTTTAGCTACACTGAAAACAATATCTCCAATTTAGAACTAGACGCAAATATATCCAAATTGAGGGCTAGCATGAGACAAAATACAACTAAGATCATCAAGACCAGTTCCCAAGTTTTCTTAAGTACTTTTTGGAAGCAGATTTTGCAAGAGAAACATCCCAAATCAAATCCCAAAGACCCTCCAAATTCTTGATCAATTCAAATCAAACACAAAACTCTCTGATCTATAAAGAGATAACTGTTTATTAGCCAGAACCAGGTTTCAAATTGGGAAATTAACACAAACATGGTAGCTAAAGAAGTCTGAAATTTTGGCTTCCTAACTCAAGTTCACACCTCCAAAAGCCAAAACAGAAAAGCAAGCAACAGAATACTAATCCAAAAACATTAAAAAGTAGCTGGAAAATAAATACGACCCATGAGCTAAAACTAATTGGAGAAAAAAAAACTAACTGAAATCATTAAAAAAAACAAGGAATTAAGAAATACCCAGATTATATGTACCTTTGATCTTGCGTTTCATGATCAGAATTCTGCATTTTTAGAAGCTGGAGACTTCGACCAGCTACACTCCAAATCTAACCCCCAAAAAAACAGCTTTTTTAAGAATTAGAGTAGGAGGAGTGAGGAAAACAGGCCTTTTGAATCAGAGAAAAGGGAAGCCAAAATGGAATTGGGGTATGACTTTTTGGTATTTTTCTTTCACTAATTTTAAGATTGAAAATGGATGGAGGGCTGCGTTGGGAATGAAGAAAAGAGGCAGAAGTTTCTTTCATTTCCTTTATTTAACCCACCCGCACTCCCACCATTAGAAATTTAAAATAACTAAAATTTAACCATTAAAACACTAAAATTATCCCATCTTTTTTAATCCCATATTTATTTAGTCTTTCAATTATATTCTATTTTTTATTTTAAAATTTGATTTTATATAGGGTAAATTACATAAAAGATCACTAATATTTTAGTGAGTTTAAGTTTTAAAAGTTATAAAACTATAACTAATATTATCGTTTTATAATAAATTAATCATTCCACCACTAATCGTAGTTATACCTGTCACATAAGGTTGATGTGGAAAGTTTACTCGACTTACCTGTTCGTTTGGCCATGTTGAACCAATATTGACAAATAATATAATATAAATCACACACCAACCGAACAAAGTCCAAGTATAAATTGTGTTGAATATCATGATAAAATTCAGTAGATAAGCCATGCAAGATGTCTTCTTCATCAACTCCATGAGTTGCAGACCATTTGTATTAAACAAAACGTCTAGCATGTTTTAATTCTTTAGGTTGTTGGTGATGACTCATCCATTCCTTAGTGTTCCTCCGCAACTCTTCATTCCTTCTAATCTTACTGTGAAGGATTGCAAATAAGAATGTAGCAAAGCACTAATTTCTTCAAATCACCCCTTTTGAAATTAGGGTTATAAATTAAAATAGATTTCTTAGAATAGTCCGACGTGACAACACGATGTCAAATAAACTAAATGAACGTGCCACATCCTATTTTTATAATCGGTGACACTTTATAATTTTTGAATCAGAATAAACGAACATTTATTTTAATGGCCATTTTATAACGATTAGATATGATTTCATTTTACTATTTGATCCCAAAATTTCATTGTTAAGGATATTGATAATCCCCTTTTACTATTAGGACCGCTCGATAAATTCAACCAATAATTTTTATAAATATAGAGATAGACACAATCTAATATCTCTAAAAGGTACAAACTGCACAACCAAATTAACCCATTTGTTTTATTTGTACACAAATATCACTCTATTTGACAAATATATGCATAGTAATCCAGTCATTAGAGCTAACATCACAGATAATCACTTGGCATTGAAAATAATCTGAATCAAAGATGCTTTTAGTTGTTTATCAGTGCATTTCATGACCAAATCCACGTATTCCATGGCTTCTGACGGGAGTAGGCCTTCCAGGAAAAAGTTAAATAAATGTGAATGAGTGACCCTCATTGTATTAAAGCAATCTTCAAATACCCTCATCTCTTCTTCTCCACTCAGCTCCGTTGCCTCCAACAATGGCAGTACATCATTCTCCTCGTCATCAAAATGTTGTTTGCAATGTTTCTGCACCTCAACAACACAAGTGATGGATCAAGCATCATCCAAAATAACAACACAAGATTTTGTACTTCTAAAATTTTAGGGTACTAAAATATATTATCATAGGAGATAAAAAAATACCTAAAATATATGATAATTTAAAATTTTCAAAAACATTTTTCTTTGTCGTCCCTCGGTTTGTCTCTAAAAATAACTATTATATCATCACAGTAAAATTGTACCTGTAACGATTTGAGGCGGTTGGATAGGTTGGAGAGGGCTTCCTTGTAGGCAGGGCTCTCGTAGTCCATAACTCCGACGGATTTCATGTCTTCTTTTATGCCATTCATAACTGGGAGGTCCCTTGCATGTTCCTCGTTTGCAGCTTTACATAGTCCTGCATTCATTTATATTTACAACACCACTTTAAAACACTCAACTTTAGCTTACATATCATTTTGGTCTCACATATACAATAACTACCCTAGCGACCACTGTCAGTCAATTACCGCTAAACATTAATCACTATACGCTGTAAGATAGTCATATATAAACGTTCGTATTTTAATCATCTTTCTTCTTTTAAAATTTATTGTCTGTAAAATTTATTAAAAATTGGAGAAAACTCATCTAAAGATTCGATATTCTAATACTGTCATTGTTCGAATTTTTTAACGAACACCCCAAATCCCCTAAAATTCAAGAAAGCTCTCAATTCTTAGAAAATAACGGGGGATTTTAATTTAATTTCATGAGTTTTAAAGAGATTTTGAGAAAATACAAATTAAAAAAATGATAAAGGATGATGAGACAAATTCATTAGTGTCTAAGGTAATTACAAAAGGCATTAGAGAGTGACGATTTTTCTGAACAACTAAAAACACATGGAAAAACTTAATTTTAATAGAAAAATTAAGGAGATAGAATACATTTTTTAACTTTTACATCAACATATGCTAACACCAAATTATCATATCATTTGATTTTTAATAAACTAGCGACAGAGTAATATAATTGAATTAATTTAAAATTTGATAATAAAATTAATATTAAACATAAAGTTCCATTGGTATTTAGTGCTACTCTTAGGATTCTCTCCCACCAAAAATATGTATGATAAATTTTGTTCAACCTTTATTGAGTGATTTAAAAATCAATCTAACCAAGCAATTATATTTAATCGATTAATCAAGTTGTTTATCTTTATTTTACTATATTCTTTAAGTTATATTTCTAGACTTACTAAGAATACTCCTATTTTTTTCCTTAAAATCATCATTTCTCCTCCTCCAAAATAAAATTAAAATTAAAATTAAATTCAAAATCTGTATAAAAAAATCATTGTCTAACCCCTAATAAATCTATTAAAATAATACGAATTTACATTTGAAGTCAATTAGCATGATCATATATAAGTTCACCGTTCTTTTTTTTAATTTCATAAAAGAAAATTACGTAATATATTTAACAGAATTACCTTTATATCTTGGTCCACACATATAAATCAATTTTTTAGGATAAATTATATGTTTAGTATCTATATTTTTTTTGTTTTAGTATCTAAAATCTATTTTTTTAATTATATGAAACATTTCGTTTAGATTTCATTTTGATATACTATCGTTAAAAACTTAACGATAATGTTGATGTGTCACCATAAGATAATGTCACATCATTATTAAAAAAATAAAAGAAATGACCCATCAATAGTTATATTATTTTTTTAATGGTGGATATTAAATTGAAATTTAAACTAAAAGTTAGATAAGATTTAAAAAAATAAAACTTGAGTATCCAAACAGCACAAAAATAATAGTTTAGACACTAAACTTATAGTTTACCCTTTTTAATGAAAATTAACTAAACATAAATAATTGTCGTTGTTAATAAAATCATACCTTTCAGTCTTTGGCCCAAAATAATAATAATAATAATAATAATAATAATAATTGTTGTTAAAATGATAACTTTAAATTAATGAAACTATTGGCTACTAAATTGCTATCAATTTAAAATAATAAATAATATTAAACTCTTAATTAACATCCAATAAGTTTAAAAGAATAAAATATTAATTTTTAGATAATATTTAAAATTTAATATTATAAATAATAATTAAATTAAATTAATTGCTTTATAGAAATTCTTATAATATTTTATTTAGTATTATAAAGAAAATAATTAAATTATAATGATGGTCTTATAATATTTTATTTTAGTATTATAAATAAAATAATTAAAGTAGAATGATTGTCTCATAATGAATTCATATAATATTTTAGTATTAAATTAGGATGATTGTCTTATAATATAATTAAGAAAATAAATAGGAAGAGAAAGTACCTGGATCGGCCATTTGGAGAAGTGGAAAGACGACTCTCTCCTCCATCTGAGCATGCTCCAACATCAATTCCAGCAATTCAGTGTAATTCTTCCCGAACTTCCGCAGCTCCATCCTCGGACTCCCCACCGCCGGATCCACCGTCTTCTTCTTCCCACGTGTCCTCAGATCCTCCGTCCACCTCACCATCCTTTCCATGTGCCACGTTATGCTCCTGTGTTGCAGCCGCGTTACCTTCACCACCAACGGCGCCGTATCCACCACCATTCCAACCTTCAGCGGCGGATGAGGGAACTTCTCCTCTATGAACCGTACCAGCGTCTCCCGGCTACCCGAAACCCTCTCCGACCCAATCTCCAGCACCAGCGTTTCGCCATCGGACGCCTCGGTGGGAACCAACTGCAGAGACAGGTTCTTGTGGAGCAACGCGAACCGGATGTACGCGGCGATTCCACTCGAAGAACAACCGTACAACCGGACGACGGGTGGCACCGGAAGAGGCATGAAACGCCTGGCGCAATCGCAGGGCGCGATCTCCACCGCCGTGGGTTTCTTTGATTTAGCTAAACAATTCCCCATCTTTAACGGATTACCTTCAGTGAGAGACGACGTCTATTTTTGAAACTACAGTAAGATAAGAAAGGGTGAAATAAAATAAAGCAAAAAAAGTTGATAAGAAGATAATGGCGGTGGTTAAGGATTCGGTTAAGGCATCAAAACGAATTGGAAGCGATGGTAAATGATTAACGATGAGGAAACCAACGATTTTGTTCTGTAAAGTAATAATATGGTATCTCAATAAAGAGAGTCGTTGGAGAGAAGGAAGAGCGAGTTTGAGAAACTTTAGAATGAAGAAATTAGGTTGAGCTTGTAGAGCAAGCAAAATGATAATAATGTTCTCTGGGTTTCTAATGGGAGTGGTAAAGTTGTTGCAGAAATGGCTTTGTAGATGACGACGACTGGCCCCGATGGCGATCGGCGATGAAGATACTATGACATTACATACTGCTCCACGCACTTCGCGTGGATCACTTCTATTGTTCCTGGGTTTAATCTTTTGGTTAAACTTCACCTACTTTTTTCCTATTTTAGTTATCAAATTATATATATTTTCTTAAAGTTAGGCTTTTTATTCTATCTTATCACCAATCATTAAAATATAATTGTAATATGGCTTAATTTTATTGATGAAAGCAATATAATTATGTGAGTTGTTGATGATTCATCTCTTATAATTTTAAAAAAATATCGCATTTAAAAATTATGTAATAGTTGGTCAATAATATAAATAGAAGGCTTAGAAAAATTATTAGAGAAAAAGGGTGAAATGAATCTGGCACCTTCCTTGATTGTTGTCAGATTTATGATCATTGTTATTATTTGTAAGTTGATATAATAAATAAGTGCAATTGTCAATAAATAGATTTGAATCTTGTGGAACAACATTTGATTCCAGAGTTTAATATTATATAACTTTGAAGGAACAATATTTGACTCATGAAGGTACAACATTTGTTCTCATAATTGATTGCAATATTATAAAGTGGCTTGATCAGAGATTTTATATTCGAAGACACTTGTTGTATGTATTGAGTTTGTGTAAAGCTTTGACAAATAAAATAAGGAGGAGATCTCGCTTAATCACTTTAATCGCAATTATTACAAAATCGCGTATTGGACCTGTATCAATTTTCTCCATGCAGCGTCTTCTTTAAAACGAATATGTTTGAAAATTTCAATGTTCGATTAACGTATTTTAAGATGTGTTGGAAAACTAATGAAAGAAGATTCATATGTAAGAAAATAATTTAACCAAAAAGACCCTAAAACCATCCATAAATTCATCGTAACTCGACTAATATTAATGGCTTCAAATTTACTTCAATTTATTTTCTAAAAAAGGTTTGGGGGTTTTTTTAGCCAAATGAAAAAAGGTACTATAGTTGGATCGAAACTATTAGTTGATCATTGATATTTTCAAAAATTACAAACTAGTCACCATAATTACAAACTATTAGTTAGCCAAATTACCATGCCACTTGTCCATATCTTCTTTTTATCATTTTCAAAGTCAAACAAGAACAAATTATTTCATACTTTCCCAATTTACCCTTGAAATTTTCAAAAATTACAAACTAGTCACCATAATTAACAATTTCGATTTAATATAGAAAATCAATCTAAATTCCAAGGATCCATGTCAAATTTCACCATTCTAGAATATAGAAATAATATTTCTAACCTCTTTCCATCATCCTTCAATTTTTCCTAATTTCCCAGTTCGATTCGATTATTCTAATATTTTACAAGACCTTATTGCTTTATAGATTTTAATACAAATCTAAGATCAAAAATCTGATTCCCACGAAAATATAATTCTTGGGGGTGAACTATTCAATTAGGAGATAAAAATTCTTTTTATAAAATTACAACTTTGGTCCCTAAACTTTTCCCATGTTTATACTTTACACCAAACTTTCAAAATTACATTTTAGCCACTATTTATATTTTGGGGTATTAAAATTCTCCCATCGTTTTAAGAAAATTCATCCTCGAATTTTCAACGTGTATTCCATGTAAGCAGATAAGAACACTATTTTTCATCTTATCGTCACTTAATCATACTAAGTCAAATAAGTGATATGGATATTTGGTAATATCCTTGTGACATGTATACACTTTTAATACATTTTTAACTTCGATTTAGGCTCATAATCGACTAAACCTACAACTCTGATACTATTAAATGTAACACGTTTAACCCGCATTCGTATTCGAATACAAGTTAAGGATGTCACATTGTTTTTATATAATATTTCCAATTGATTTTAATCATTATTTAAGCTTGAAACAACTCTATAACATTATCAACACAAAAGTCTATCTTTAATTTATCAAAATCCAACTTGTTCATCATCCACATTAACATCTAAACCAATGATTCAAGAATGGAAACAACTAAATATTATTACCAAATAATAGAGAATTTGATGTATATCATTTTTCTGTTTCATAACTTAATCCAAAAATCAAAAGAAAATGACTAAAATAAAGAAAAAGAATAAAACATACCTTACCTTTCTTTCAATATAACTCATGGCAATTTAAAGAGAAAGAGGGCCAATTTTTAGATTTTTCTTGAGAATGATCTCATGTACAATTGTTAAATAATCATTTAGATGAATATAAAATTCATTTAATGCAAAAGATTTCAGTTTGTCCTTTAAAAATCATGATAATTTCTAAATTACCATGCCACTTGTTCATATCATATTTCTTTTATCATTTTTAAAGGCAAACATGAACAAACTATTTCACATTTTCCCAATTTACCCTTGATATTTTCAAAAATTACAAATTAATCACCACAATTAAAAATATCAGTTTAATATAGGAAAAGGACTAAAAAAAACATACCTTACATTTCTTTCAGTGTAACTCACATCAATTTAAAGAAAGGTGCTGATTTCTAGATTTTTCATGAGAATTATCTCATGTACACTTGTTAAATAATCATTTAAATGACTATAAAATTCATTTAATGCAAAATTTATCATTTTGCCCTTTAAAAACCATGATAATTTCCAAATTACCATGCCACTTGTCCATATCATCTTCCTTTTAGCATTTTCAAAGTCAAACATGAACACAGTATCTTATACTTTCCCAATTTACCCTTTAAATTTTCAAAAATTACAAACTAATCACCATAATTAAAAATTTCAGTTTAATATAGAAAATTTCACTATTCTAAAATATAGAAATAATATTTCTAACATTTTTTCGTCATCCTTTAATTTTTCATAATTTTCCAGTTCGATTCAGTTATTTGAATATTTTACCGAACTTTATTATTTTATAGCTTTTAATACAAATCTCGGATCAAAAATCTGATTCCCATGAAAATATCATTATTGGGGGTAAACTATTAATTTACGTGATAAAAATTCCTTTCGAGAAAATTATCACTTTGGTCCCTAAATTTTTATCAAGTTTCTACTTTGACCACCAAACTTTCAAAATTTATATTTTAGTTACTATTTAAATTTTGGGGTACTACAGGAGCACGAAAGCACCTTCATAAAATAATACCAAAAAGTGAGTAAAATATCTTACAATTTACTTAACATAATTAAGATTTTAAGTGATAAATGACGTAAAACATGACTTTTGGGTCAGAATTTGGCAAAATGAACCGCAGAAACGGACTCAGGACATTGACAAACGTTATAGTAGACGTCTTTAAAAAAATTCAACAAAAAAGGTAAGCGTCAAATGCAATAATTAGTGGGTCAACGGGTTAATGGCCAGTTCAGTCTGGCTGGTTCACGCTTGAACCGACAAAATCACTCACACACGTGCACGATGGCGCATGAAGGGTCCTCCAACGGTCAAATATTGATGAAAACTTTAGAAAAATATGTTGTAATGCACGATGAACTATTTATCAAGGTCGGTTTGCGAAAAAGAACATCGAAGATGATGCTTTTAACGAAACTCAAAACTTCTCCTCTTTCAAAATCACTAACTCTAGAGATGATTAAAAAAATCAGAACTGTAGGATGGATGAGAGCTATACAACGAATAACAGGTTACCGATGGTGCACTTCACAACCAAAGGGATGAAAACCAAAAGCAATTAAACAAAATCTACAATGGAGGTAGTTGGGAGAAAAAGAAATAAAGAAAATACGGCTGGGGTTTGTACGAACAAAAAAGATAGAAAATAGAATGGATGGGATTTTAAAACAATCAATGGGCAATTTAAATTATAAGACATTCTACTTTCGAGAACTTTTAAATCGATACCAAAATTTTAAAACATTTTAATTCAATCCTCAAAAATGGGAATTTGACACTTGATATTGACATAACAAATCCAACTTGTCCAGAATGCTGAGATGGGTTTGACACGTGTTGTAACACCCTAAACCAGTCCTACACACATTTGACCGATGTAGGATTCCACACAAAACCACCGATGTGACTAACCAACTTATTCTTACTTTTATGTACTTTAAAATGACTCTCTACATCTGAGAGCCCTCAAAATATATATATACCTACATACTGACTCTTAGCTGACTTTGCAACTCAATACAACTAAATTCATGAATATACATGCCATTTAAGAAACTTGTTATGTACTCTGCTCTGCACTGGGTCTGGACCTCGGTCTCTCTAAAGCTTCTCAACAGCTATATCTACTAACATTCCCACGAAAACATTCGAAGGTTGAGCTAACTAGCTCAGCGCCACACTAACAACTAAAACATACTAAAAGTTTATCACTGAAATGCTCAAGCTATCAAGTCTATTGTTATAAGGTCTACTGTCTGTTATGTTATGCTTTAGCGAATATACTTGTATACTCACTCTCTACTCTATGGTAGATATCATGGTGCGGTTGAGGGTTATGCATCTCAAAGCTCACACACCCCTCTAGTATACACTGGATATGGCCTTAAGAATTATCTGCATCGAAAACCATACCCTTTACTAACCCACTATTTCTTCTAAAGAGTGTTAAGGCCTCGTAAAACATAGTTAGTCAGAAGGGCCTCGTGCCCTAACTAATGATATATCCGGATTGAATCTATACTTTCAAGTATGCAATATTTTCTAAAGGAACTCGGGTGTCCTGATCGTTTTCCCGAGCATTCAAACAAGGTTAATCTTATTTTACTATACTTTATTATCACTTTCTACATTTGAATTAGACATTAATAAGTGTTCTCACTTGTAGTTTTAT